ACGAACCTAAATACTTATTACAATCCTTTGACGAATTTTGCCGTAGATTTCCAGTACCACAGGCCTACTTAATCAAAATTAATTTAACCTTCAAACAAATACATTTAATTGAATAAAAATTTTCTTGGATAGTATCCATCGTCTAGTAAATATAAAACGTAAAACGACGTTTCGGAGATGGGACTCTATCTCCGTCTTCAGGTTCCTACACAGTTAGCTAATCCCCATCTCCGAAACGTCGTTTTATACGTTTTATATTTACTAGACGATGGATACTATCCAAGAAAATTTTTATTCAATTAAATGTATTTGTTTGAAGGTTAAATTAATTTTGATTTTTAAATCGACAAGCAGTACTACTGCATGTTTGTTTCTGTTTACTAAAATTTTAGTGCAGTTAATAGAGTCGAATATGAAAAATGGGGACGGAAAGACACGACCTATGGTAAACGTTTTATATACTAAATAGAAAGAACGCAAAAAATGATCCATACATTTTCATTTCACGTAGTCTGCGCATGCGTGAAGATTTTAATTCAGACAGAGAAAAGGCACAAATGATCATAATCGTCCAGTTCTAGTAAGAGGCTGATGGGCGAATTATTTGGTGTTTTTGTCATTACTGCTGACTCGTGAGATTTGATCTGTGGCTGTATTTAAATTTACGACGCGCGATACTTCGTGTCTCAGAAATGTATGATTGCAACGGCGCCTTGCCTTATACTTAAAGGCCCAACGGTAATTACAATTACCATTTCCTTAAACATTCAATAATTCCGCATTCTGCATTGCAACGGCGCCTTGCCTTATACTTTAAGGCCCAACGGTAATTACAATTACCACTTGCTTAAACATTCAATAATTCCGCATTCTGCACATATCTTGTGTTTATGGGTTTCGTATGATTCTCAGAAAAGCAAATGATCTTCGTAATGAGGTGCAGTGTTTTCTCTGCGGTACGGACTTAATAAAATATTATTTGGGCTAACTTTGGCTTCAAAGGATTAATACCGATTAGGAAACGAGAGACAACAAGTTCATCGATGTATGTAACGGAGAATATTGTGTTGTTTTCTGAATAGAGCTACAGTTGAATTCTGTTTACACGGGTGTTGACTCACCTCTATCGGCCGGCGGGCCATCTGCACATGAGAATGTATACAGCGGCAACTTCCGGACCTGAAAGCGTTTGCTTGGCCGTGACGACAAACAAAGAGGGCTATTCACTGAACATTGCGCCGTGCTGAAATGGCGAAAATTGCCAAAATTTCAGAATAACTTGGTGCCTCCTCCACGGTCGGAATTTAATAAACACTAAAACGTCGTTCCCTGAACAAATTCGGAGCTTGTATCCAGCATCCACGTTGCATCTGCAATGCTTCTTATGCACCCTTCACAATTCAAATATGAAAACTACACCCCACTTCAGAAAATACCCTCGTCAACCTCTTCTCCAAAGTCTTAAAAATAGCAATTCAAAGGAGCTTCTGCTGTCTAGCAACAAAACAAAACTTCCCAAAGATCTCACTTCTTTAAAATCTAGCTTTACCAGAACGACGAGTGGGAATATCTGGGAACCTGCGATACGTTATCCCCCGCAAAAATTAACGTCTCACAACTCCGCTTCTCTCTTTCTTCCCAATAACAACTTTGGCTTGTAAAATTTTATCTCCATCTAAGAGCGAGGTTTTCACTTCATTATGACAGTGCTTATGCGCAGGGCCATCTAAACACATGTTTAAATATTACCTGAATTTTTTTAAAAAAAAAATTGTCTACCCAATGTTCACAGAACGAAAACTTACTGTGATTTATTATTGTTAAATAAATGATCAAAGCAATAAAATAATCTATCGGCCGATTGTGATTAAAAAAAGATGTCAGTCGACACTGCAGTCGCTATATCTCATCTTTCATCGTGTACTTTCCCAACGGTCCAGCACGCGAACAGCCAATTGAATAATTTAGCTGCTATTTGTTGCGGAAATTTCATTATTCACCCCTGAAGGTTATGTTGCTCACATGCGTTCCATTTCACATAAATAATGGAGTGACATTACGAAGCTGGGTAGGGAGGGGCTGATCCTTAAGGCAGTTTTTGAGCCTTGCGTTCAATATTTCGTCCTTCAACCTTACCTACCATTCAAAAACGTAAAAGCGTTTGTATACCAGGGAGATGAGAAATGTGTACAAACTTTAGGTTGCAAAACCTGAAAGGAAGATGCTTACATGGGTGGATAACATTAAGATGGATCTTGGGAAACTAGGATGAGAAGGGTCGATTGGATTCTTCTGGCTTAGAATAGGGACCAGTGCCAGGCTGTTGTGGATACCTTAGTGTTCCAAACAAGCGGTGAAATTTCTTGACTGAGTGTACTATCGATTTCTGAAGGACGACTCTGCTGCATGGAGTTCGTTAAATTAACCCTCGTACATAACGACAAATAGGAAATATTCGTAGTGGAAGGTAAAACTGTGGGAAATTTTAACGCACAACTATGGCACGCCTGGTCTGAACAGGTGATGGACTGTCGAAATGACAAGTAAAAAAATTTAAAGTATATAAGATGTGCCATTCTGTCACGCAAGCCTGTATAATTAACCACCCTCGAGTTAAAGTACGGTTACCTGTCACACTTAATCGTTACGCATTTTAGGCCGCGTAGTTTTGTCGTATGCAAATTGCACGCCTCTAACATCTGTCTTGCATTTCACATTCAATGCGTATTGCTATCTGACGCTACAAACTGACTCGTGGCTGTAAACTTGTATGTGGGAGGTTGCAGCTTCGAACCTCGGCTGGCCATCGAGATAGGATTTTCGTAGAGTTCTATGCCCAGAAGAACGTCATGAGAGCACCTTCAAATACGGCATTCCCGGCTCCTTTCAAATCTTTACCTATTCACGTTCAAGGGTGCAGTCGGAACCGAGTCGCAAAATAACTTCACTTCTGATCTGTTTTCGTCTTTTCTGGAGGCATCCATTTTTAATTCTAGCCAGGTCTCCTGTCCTGACAGTTTCTGTCGGCACAGCACCGGCTCAGTCGGAATCAGTTTAAATTATGCACACAACTGATTGCTAATTACAATTACCTACGCGCTAAATACCAAAAATAAGAAAATTCTTATCACGGATAGAAATTATGCACACAACTGATTCCTGAAACACCTCTTGTCGGCCTACGCGCTAAATACCAAAAAATAAGAAAATTCTTATCACGGATAAAGGCCAAACCTCTCTCTGGACTTCGTGCGCGACAAATTGAAGTCCGGCGAGCGGGGAGACCGCTATAAAATTCGCTGTTATCGCCGATTAACCAGGTAGTCTGAGCTCGGTGGTTGTCCTTAGAGATGTAATAATTAGTCTCATATCGGAACAAGCTCACGGTGCACTATCGATCCAACGCATCGCCCCCTCGATGCTCAGATGGCAACGCTGTGAGCTCCGTGCTTTGGGGACGGAATCCAAACTTCTCATGATTCGATACCGAAAATTTGTGCGAACACACATTCCCTACGAGTGCCTGACGCAAATGTTTCGGCCTGCGGAGAACTGGGCACCTAACGTTAAGGACAGTGAAACGTACGTAGTTATGGTGGGTTGGGCATATAGATCGGACAGTGGATAATTTTCTCAGGGAAAAGGGGTGGGACGGTAACATTGAGATCCACCGCGAACTTCTTGTTATACTAAAAAATATGAATGTTAGTCTCTTAAAATGTGTAATTCAGGGCATTATTACAGCCCGGTATCAAACCTGGTACTCCCGAAAAACTCAGACACGGTTCTGCTTAACCAACCAACTTCTAGTAGACGAAAGGGGCGTGCCCCCATGAAATCCATCCTAACACAACTTCGATTTCCCAAAAACTCCATACGTAACGAAACGAACGCTGATATTTCCATATGATCTGACTGGAGAAGCAGCACATTGGCTGACAGCACTGAGGTTGAAAAACAATCAGGGCAGTTTGCGCCGGGATCGATCCGGTAACCTCAGCAACGACAGTCACGCAAGGCATGTGGACATGACAGAGCCGTCTAGATCGCTTTTCACTTTACGGTCCTCGCCGAGACTCCAACTCGATTTAACTCCTTTAAACACAATTGTATGCAAATGCACTATGTGATTCAAAGTTCAGCAACTCCACATTTTAATGTGTATTTGTGCAAACAGCGATTATTTCCTTAAACAACATAAACCAAGTAATCGCTGCTATAAAGACGTGTTGTGTTTTCTTTGAGGAACGGGCTGGATTTTTTACGTAATAAGGTGTCGTTTCAGAGGGTTCATCAAATGTCCATAAACGATCAGTTTTTTTAAGGTATGGGCGAAAAACGTGTCTCTTTCATTGGCAAGGATAAAACAGAAGCGTGGCGTATTTGACTAGCCTCGTAATCGGTGCATTAGTAACGTAATAAAAGAGTTCTCGCGGACGGAACGTTGGAAGAACAAGGGTAACAGATTAATAATTTATCCACGAAGATACAAAACGTCGTGCGTGAGCTGTCGTATGACCGGTTGCATAGCTAAGAGGGAGATTCTTCTCCGTGAATGAAGAATTATGTGGATGGCAAAAAAAACATTAAATTTTTCGTTTTTCTTCAGCTTGTGGTGTCCTGTATCGCCGGAAGCGAAGGTTAGAAATTGTATGCATTGACAGACAAATTCGTATTGTGATATGTCTGTGCTTAAATGATCACAACCGTTGTCATTGTAATGCTGTTAAGGGATCCTCGGCCTTGTGGTTGCATGGCTGAGCGACCGGAAAACAATTTACTGCCTCCTACGTTCATGACCCACAGCTTAGTTTTTGGTGATTATTCCTGCAGAACATCATTATCGTCACCTTATATCTCTCGATGTAACAATTATTTAATCAGATAATGAAGTAATCTGTCTGTGTGCAGTGTGTGGCTTGGAACACCTGCTTCGTATCTGTAACGGAGGGCAACAGCAAGGTCAGCCCAAAGAATACACCATCTTGTTTGTGCTACAGGATGTTCAAGTCTCGGAGCAACAAGAAACTGGCCGGGCAGCGATCCCGTGTTCTACGAGAACGCGCCAACCTCAGCTTCTTCATCGTCGTCATGTTCTTCGCCGTGTTCGGGGCCATCGTGCTCACAGAGATCTTTCTCATCGACGATAGGGGGCGAGGCACCGGCGTGCTTGTGCGACACGGGGGGCGGCGCCGAGGGGACAAGCCAGACTACGAGGACGACGCACAGCCTCTCCTCCAGGCAAGTGTGCAGTGCAGAAGAAACATATTTCTGACGTTTTATGAAGTCTATAGATTAGACAGTGTGGAAAGTACACGATGATTGTGAATAATACCGAGTGGTCGAAAATTCACATGACCCATTCCAAACCCATGTTCTGGTTGTCAAAACATAAATTACATTGAAACCATAAAAAAATGTTGTGCGACAGGGTGATGAGTGACAGACTATGACAGTTAAATATCAATTCCAGTATTCGCCTGGAAGGACTGAGGAAAACATCTGAAATAGGTGAACCAAGTTAGGGCGTAGCTCGTTCCAACACCGACACCTTTACCGCCGCGAGGACCTCAAACCTCCAATGAAGAGATTTGTGGTAGACTTGGCTGTAGGTGGGAAAGTAATATTAAAATGTATCTAGGAGAAATAGGCTGTGCTAATTTGAATTCTACAGAAGTTATAATACGCTGGAATGGTTGGCTTTTGTGAACGTGGCAAGGAAAAGAGGTGGTGTTTCTCGGGCAGACGAACTTTCGGTTTCCTTAATGGAAGGAAGGCATTCGGCCAGCCCAGTTTCCATCATGCAACGTGTTACAGGGGGAAGATTACCTGGTGTACCGGGGAGCTGGTTTCGACTACAATTTCGGAGTGTTCGTTCGCGAAGACCACGGAGGAGTCATTGGCAGCGACTCAAAAGCCGGGGCCCGCATACCGCCTGCGGGTCGTAAGACAGGCGTGCTGTCGGATTCCTTCAAGGTTAACCAAGAAAGAAACAGTGCGGCGAAGAGTGGGGTTCCCGCGGGAGTTGAGTCCAAACTGCCTGGAAACAGCATTATTGCCAAGGACGGAGTGTGGCAGATTGTTTCCGGCACAAGGTAACAAGTATTTCGCAAACTTTTGTTCTCTGCAGTCGGAGACATCTGGGAATACGGATCAGAAATGCTAAATGCTACACCGCAATTTTCATTCACCTCTTCTCGTCTCAAAACTGGTCATTATATTAAAAATGTCAGGTAACGTCGTCATTTTATAGCGTCGTTGAATCATCCAACGGAATTCGATAATGTAACCTACAAAACTGTTCCGCACTTGAAGAACATGTCACGAGGCTTTCGGCCACTGCCCTTCCGTTTAACTCTGTGGTAGCAGAGAACCGCTAATACCAAAGCCTGCTTTTGATCACGAATCTAAAGCCAATTCACCGCCCATCCTCACAACCCAGCAAGGTCAGCCCAAAGAATACACCATCTTGTTTGTGCTACAGGATGTTCAAGTCTCGGAGCAACAAGAAACTGGCCGGGCAGCGATCCCGTGTTCTACGAGAACGCGCCAACCTCAGCTTCTTCATCGTCGTCATGTTCTTCGCCGTGTTCGGGGCCATCGTGCTCACAGAGATCTTTCTCATCGACGATAGGGGGCGAGGCACCGGCGTGCTTGTGCGACACGGGGGGCGGCGCCGAGGGGACAAGCCAGACTACGAGGACGACGCACAGCCTCTCCTCCAGGCAAGTGTGCAGTGCAGAAGAAACATATTTCTGACGTTTTATGAAGTCTATAGATTAGACAGTGTGGAAAGTACACGATGATTGTGAATAATACCGAGTGGTCGAAAATTCACATGACCCATTCCAAACCCATGTTCTGGTTGTCAAAACATAAATTACATTGAAACCATAAAAAAATGTTGTGCGACAGGGTGATGAGTGACAGACTATGACAGTTAAATATCAATTCCAGTATTCGCCTGGAAGGACTGAGGAAAACATCTGAAATAGGTGAACCAAGTTAGGGCGTAGCTCGTTCCAACACCGACACCTTTACCGCCGCGAGGACCTCAAACCTCCAATGAAGAGATTTGTGGTAGACTTGGCTGTAGGTGGGAAAGTAATATTAAAATGTATCTAGGAGAAATAGGCTGTGCTAATTTGAATTCTACAGAAGTTATAATACGCTGGAATGGTTGGCTTTTGTGAACGTGGCAAGGAAAAGAGGTGGTGTTTCTCGGGCAGACGAACTTTCGGTTTCCTTAATGGAAGGAAGGCATTCGGCCAGCCCAGTTTCCATCATGCAACGTGTTACAGGGGGAAGATTACCTGGTGTACCGGGGAGCTGGTTTCGACTACAATTTCGGAGTGTTCGTTCGCGAAGACCACGGAGGAGTCATTGGCAGCGACTCAAAAGCCGGGGCCCGCATACCGCCTGCGGGTCGTAAGACAGGCGTGCTGTCGGATTCCTTCAAGGTTAACCAAGAAAGAAACAGTGCGGCGAAGAGTGGGGTTCCCGCGGGAGTTGAGTCCAAACTGCCTGGAAACAGCATTATTGCCAAGGACGGAGTGTGGCAGATTGTTTCCGGCACAAGGTAACAAGTATTTCGCAAACTTTTGTTCTCTGCAGTCGGAGACATCTGGGAATACGGATCAGAAATGCTAAATGCTACACCGCAATTTTCATTCACCTCTTCTCGTCTCAAAACTGGTCATTATATTAAAAATGTCAGGTAACGTCGTCATTTTATAGCGTCGTTGAATCATCCAACGGAATTCGATAATGTAACCTACAAAACTGTTCCGCACTTGAAAAACATGTCACGAGGCTTTCGGCCACTGCCCTTCCGTTTAACTCTGTGGTAGCAGAGAACCGCTAATACCAAAGCCTGTTTTTGATCACGAATCTAAAGCCAATTCACCGCCCATCCTCACAACCCCGCAAACTCTCCAAGACCCGTCTCAGACTTTTCATCACATTTCCTTCCGGGTCTCCTGTGGACGTTTTCCAAAATTACATCCGCAATGTCACTGCCCTGTACAAATTACGAAGTTCCTCTCTGAGCAATATCCTATCATTTTCGAACACTAGAATTTTCTGTCCTCTAAGAGGCCAAACTTCATGCCAACATAAAACATAAAACTGATTGGTTTGTAGAGCATCTTCAGCTTTGAGAAAGCTGGCGGGAAGATTGCAGCTTTTGGACTGAATAACAAGCTGTTCTGGAATGCATTATTCTCCTGCTTTCAGCAAGAATTTTTTGTGCTGTTCCCAGGTGCTTGGAACTGCGACCCTCGAAATTCCAACTACAAATCATTCGCGAAAATATTGTAAATATTACGCATCCATTTTATAAAAGACGCTAAAATGATTTCCTCCTATTTATGGATAAGTTTTTACAACAGTCCTAGTGTCGTCGTCTTGTTTGAAATGGTGTACTCGTTTTCACTGTCAGTAAAATGCAGAAAGGAATCATAAATTCTCCAGGATTACGGACCCGAATTTATGGTCACTGCGGAAAAAAAACTCCGTCATCAGGGCGATGAATATGACCTCTGAAACGTTGGCTAACATCAACCAGACTACACGGCGCAACAACCCAGAAGATGGAAATCTTCATTTTTTTTCTAGTAGGCTTACCGAAAACAACATAAATGTTTCGCCTTACTGACCCTTCGAAGCTCGAAGTTCATCTAATATTTAAATATCCAGCCGCCTGCAGAAGAACGATCATCATTACTGTTCAGGGAAGGCTGAAGAGCTCCATACTTTGTACTTTTCCCTAAATTTATTAGGACGACAAAATCAAGACGCGTGAGATAGGCGGAGTATGTAGCACGCTTAGACCAGTCGTTGAGATCTTGGCCAAAGTTTGGGTTATATTGGACCGATACGAATCAAAATGACAATTTTCCAGAAACTATTATTTTAGATCCCCCATACTAAATTTAATCGCAGAACATCGATGCTGGTGAACGGATCTCCTAATCATGCGTTTATTTTACGCAATTCGTGCAAAGAACGCGAAGTGGTATCTATGAGGCCCATACATGATACAATCTTCTGATACAGGTATCACATATGAACTCAAATACCAAGAAATGGGATGGGCCGCGGTTCTACGGCGGTGGTTGTTAGAAGATAAGTTAACAGCAAGCTACTTATTCATACACTTATAATAATTTCTGACAGTTTGCAAGCCTGTGGATTCTAGACGAAACAGTTGTTGAGTCGCCTATAAACCTGCAGGTTTTCTAGTGAAAGTCAATAATTCTGAGTAGGATTTGAGGTTCTCGCGGTGGCGAGTATGAAGATGGCTGTCTACTGCTCACCAAATATTATTAAAGTGATGAAATCGTGGAGGATGAGATGATGCAATACGCTTAGGAGAGAGGAAATTCGTACAAAATTCTGGTCGAAAACCCCAGAGAGAAGAGACCGACCACTTTAGACACATAGACGGGAGGGTAATATTAAAATAGATCGTAACTATCTCGAGAAAAAGGCACCCCTGCATGGAGTTCCGGATAAAAAAAAAACATTTGTGACTGTGTGGACTGGATTAATCTGGTTGAAGATGGAGGCGATAAGATTCTCCAAAAACATTAAACATTTGCAAGATCACACGACGTCACAACCCGAGAGACCACAATTCGCATGGCAATGAATCTTATGGTTCCACAAAGGATAGGGAATTGCCTGGCCGTTGTAGTTCATACACTTGTTTCGTTTAAACCTTGTAATGTGCAGGACTCTAGCTAGCGCGATACCAGTCAAAAGCGGCTACAAAACAAGCTAAATGGGGTCACACAGTTCAACACCATGGAGACAGTGGCGTTCCCAGACGCTTTCTTTGACGTTCATTTGTCTAATATATGCAGTTTTGTGGCGAGGATTATCAGTGAGTTATTGTCATGGCCAATTATTGTTTTAGACATCACTCAGTCGTAATAAAAGGGAATACGACGTTTCAGTGGGTTTTCAGATAGAAACAAGGTGCAAATGTTGTGGCCCGTCAGGTAAAGCCAGCCTTATCTGACATCACTGAAGTAAATTAGGAAAGTGAAAGTTCTCGATGTAATGAATTCTTCTCGGGCTACCAATGGAGAAAACACGAACGTTTAGAGAAACATCTATGTCCTCGACCTCAGGGTACCCTCAGGACGAGGACGGTTCTCGAAATGTAGGCGTTTTCTCCATTAAACCACCTTACACGGCTGGTAGCACGAGAAGAATTCATTATACTTGGTTGACGTGAAAGCCTCAGATCATACAGTTATTGATCAGTATGCGTCTATCACAAATACCTATGATACACGAAATATCAGTCGGAACTCTGTGTTTATTTCCTGGCTTTTCACTTAATTTGCTTTGAGTGTCGTGCTTAAGAATATGACCATTTTCCGACAATGCATTCTTAGCTGGATCAAATAAATGATGAGACCCATGAGGGAAACATGTGTATACAATTTTGATTGTGAAGCGTGAAAGGAAGAGATCACTAAAACTTTGTCGTAATAATAATAATAATATTAAGATGGATTTTTGGACTGGTTTCGTCTGCCTCAGGATAGGGAACGGTGGTGGGATTTTGCGAACACAGTACAATTACCCTGCTCATAAGAGATTGGGAATTTGACTAGCTCAGCGTCCATCACCTTCTCAAGGACTTTTGTGTCAGCTGAAATCGTTGTAATTGCTGATTGCAAATCAGAAGGTTTTAGTGTAGATTCTGCAATTATTTTGATGATGCTGTTTGTTTCAATTTAAATGTTATAGTTCTGAGGTCTAGAAAGCATGGAACTTTATTTCCATGTTTACCTTTATAAGACATTCATGGAAACGTATACGGTGTCACGATACATTTCTTTAAAAACAATGTTCATTAAACGTAACGTCACAAACTGAACAGTGAAATTAAAATTCTAAACTCTAAAGCTTGATACTATATCAAACCTACTTTCCAGGAAATAGATTAAAATGCACACTGACCTTCAAGTCCCCTGTTGACCATGGAGTTTATCTGGCGTCGAATTATCGTTCTAGTAGGTCACCTCAAGAGTCCTCAGGTTAAACACAGAAAATTCATGCACTGTTAACTCGGCACGGTATATTCAGATTCGTCCCACATTAGTCATACTACGATTTAATTTCGATGTTTTTTAGTTAATTGACCTATTTGTCCCAGTTTAGATCTGTATCCTACGAAATATCAAACAAATTGGTCATTTTTGGCAAACAGCAATAAATAAAAATTCTAAATCTGCCTTTTCACATTCTTTACTACATTAATGAATAATTAATGACTGCCAAACACCGAGTTCAATTTAAACTTATTCTTAAATATTTGTTCAAAATAATTATAAATCTTTTATGAAACTTGCACAACATAAGATGACTGCTATTCGTTCCTAAATATTATGTTTTATTTTAAGGAAAGTCTATTCATTTCTTCAGTCTTATACAAAATGGCAACCGGACAACTGAAACGATCCAAGCAATTCACTCGCGTATGCTCCAAAACTTTAAACAATATTACAGCTCGCGTTTATGTAATAACGAAAATACATTTAAGTAAGAATTTAAGTTATTTCACAGTGCATGAATTTAATTCTTTAATGAAAGAAATCTTACATCGTTCGCTATTAATTAATTGCGAATGTAGGATATCTACTCACGATGACAAGCACACCACAAACCAAATCCAAATGACAGCTCTCTGAAATATTCGAACTACATAACCCAGTGCCTCCAACCACAGTGCAATCCAATTCGATTAATAATTA